TCTCTCTCTCTCTCTCTCTCTCTCTCTCTCTCTCTCTCTCTCTCTCTCTCACACACACACACACACACACACACACACACACACACACACTCACAGAGTTGATGCACACATGGAACTGTTGAATTGCACACGTGAGTTCGAATCCAGCGGCGACCACAATAAAACAATTCTGATTTACAAATGGGATCTGACGGCGTGCTGATGCCTTGGCCGATGCCCCCCAGAATGCTGCGCGACCCTCATGCTCTAAAACAAACACCCTCAATGCCCCCCCGAATGCTGCCGCCCCGGCCAGATAATGGCCGTGCCTGGGGTGGGCTGGCGCTGCTGTCTTCATTCAGTTTCGGGTAATACTAGTAAATTCCCATCTTCAATTACCGGCCTTTCCCCTGCCGCGGCTACGCCGCGGCGGGTTTACTTGTGTTTTTAAAGTGGGGTTTGTCTCCTTCCCCTTCTTCCTCCTGTTCTTCCTTTTCATTGCCTCTTTCCTTGTCCTTCTTCGCAGCGGCCATATCTGCAAGCTTCCCTACTCCTCGTCGTTTCTCATCTTTCTCTCGGGTTTTCCCTTTCTCTCCTCCTCGTTCTTGCCCCTGAATTCCATCTCCATCTCCTCCTCCTCCTCCTCCTCCTCCTCTTCTTCCCTCCTCCTCCTCCTCCTCCTCCTCCTCCTCCTCCTCCTTCGTCCCATTCATTCTGCTCCGCCTCGCCTTTCTCTTCCTCTACTTCTTCATGACCATTACTTATATGACGCCGTTGTATTCTTCATGGGCCTTAGAAAAAGTAAAAAGGAAGCCAGCCGCATGACTGAGCTGTACACACTTATAACATTTACAGTTGATGAACTGATCACCAGTTCAAATCGTGCTGGCCTGAATTAGGGCCATTTCCCCCCTCAAAAGGAAAAGAAAATGACCTTGCCTTTTTTTTTTTTTTTAATTTATATTAATCTCTTTCTCCTTCTCTTTCTCCCTTCTCTTTCTCCTTCTCTTTCTCCTTCTCTTTCTCCTTCTCTTTCTCCTTCTCTTTCTCCCTTCTCTTTCTCCCTTCTCTTTCTCCCTTCTCTTTCTCCTTCTCTTTCTCCGCCCATATGTCCACCTCCATGTTCTTTATATTAATCTCTTTGTCCTTCGTTTTGTTCAATTTGTGTGGTGCTTCATGCTCGACATCTTCATCCTCCTATCTTGTCTCGTCTCCTCCTCTTTTTCCTCCTCTTTCTTCCCTTCCCCCTCCTCTTCCTTTTCTTCTTCTTATATCTTTCTTCGAATTTTTTTTATTTTTTTTTTCCCGTTTCATGGTCAAACAAGCGGAAAACGTTTTCTTGACAAAAAGGGCCGCCTTTTCCCGGATTAGCTCTTCTTCTCCGCCTCTTCCTCCTCCTCCTCTTGCTCTCCCCTCCTAATTTGTCTCCTCCCCTTCTTGTTTCTCCTCGTCCTAGCCTCCTCCTCCTTAAATAACGGTCCAAAAACGTTTTCCTTGCTCCTCTTCCTCCTCCTCCTCGGTCCTCGGCTTCGCCACTTCTTCCCATGTGTCGGGAAGATGTGGCAAGGAAAACGTTTTTGGACCGTTACAGAAAGAAGGTAAGTGGAATGATTCGTTTTCGCACACCCTCCCTTGCAGTAGAAGGATAAAAAAGCGTTTTTGGAGCGTTACAAAAGGAGTAAGTGGAATGATTTGTTCTCGCTGTAGGAGGTGGTGGAAACTGACGTAGCAGTGGTAAAAGAGAGAACGGAGAAGAAGATGAAGAGGAGGGGGGGGGGGGAGAGGGAGAGGACGAGGAAGAAGAGATGAGAAGCACGGAGATGAAAAGGGGGCAGGGAGAGGACTAGGAGAATGCAGGCTGCACCATATCTGAGCTCAAGGATATGGGGGGATGTAATGTCGACGAAGGGGTAGAATGGAGGAGGGGACAAGGTGGGGGATATGATATAGAAGAAGAAGGGGATAAGGTGGGGGATATGATATAGAAGAAGAAGGGGATAAGGTGGGGGGATATGATGTAGAAGAAGGGGACAAGGTGGGGGATGAAACGTAGAAGAAGGGGACAAGGTGAGGGATGTGAAGAAGGGGACAAGTTGGGGGCTGAGATGTACGTGGGGGGACGAAGGAGCAAATAAGAAGAAGAAGAGTGTCTCTCTCTCTCTCTCTCTCTCTCTCTCTCTCTCTCTCTCTCTCTCTCTCTCTCTCCCCGTGAAAAGACGTGATTGCGCTGCAGTGCGCCATGTCACCCTCTCTCTCTCTCTCTCTCTCTCTCTCTCTCTCTCTCTCTCTCTCTCTCTCTCTCTCTCTCTCTCTCTCTC